GGTGCAGTTAACACTGATGCTGCTTCTGCTTCTGGGGCGGCCTCACTTCAGAGTGAGGGCGTTCACTCAGAGGAGGGAACAGTGCCTGTGTGATCACATCTGGGAGACAGGAGGGGACATTAACCTTTTCAGGCCCTTCCCTGTAGCCCCCTTTCCCTTCCCTGTGAGTCCGATTCCTTCAATGGAATGTTTTAAAATAGAATAGTAGGTGACTTCCTGCCTCTTGCACAAGCTCAGGTCATCATGCCCCAGAAACAAAAAAATGTTGGGTCTACAGGGCAACCAGAAGGTTCCAGTCTCACTGTAGGTAGCCTGGATCACCCCAAAGTCCAGTCACTGTCCACTGCCTCAAGTCTCAGCCATTTTTCATGTGCCAAAGGGATTCCTCAAAGTGCCAAAGGAGTAAGTCTTTGATTAGCTTAATCACTCGGTGCTTTGGGATGTGGTCCAAATTCCTTCACGCTTCTTGGAGGTCTCCAGGATGTTACTCACTTTTCTCCCATCCATTCTCATTTGAGGGTGCTGAGTGTCTAGTGTAGACATCGTGAGGGGCTTTTCTCTGGGGGAAATCACTGTGTGAGGCCCTTGGAACAGGGGCAAGCTACCCACAACCATCAGGAGCCCAACAGCCACTGGTGAAATTGAAGGGCAGGAAGGACAAGATCAATTCAGTGTGCAGTGATAAAGGTTCATCGCAGAGAGATCAGTGATGTACTGAACACATGGTAGACACTGCCCTGGGTCCCAAGAGATGCACCTGGGATCCAGATACATCCTTGTCTCCCCAGAGTCCATACCAAAGTCCAGGTCTCTGCCCCACAACCAGAAGAGTGGGAGGAAAGCAACATGAAACATGGCCATGAGGGAATAGATTGGACCACACACTGGAGGAAAGTGAGACTGGGCAAGCCCTGTAAACCCCGAGCCCCAACTTTCCTGGGAAACATCAGGCTTGATGTTGGGAGTCACCACCAGCATGCCACGCTCCTGGGTTCTAACTGGTCAGTTCAGAAGGACCCTTGAGGCCTCCTGTCCTCAGGTTCTATGTTCTGCTGGTCTTAGGAACAGAACCTTGCTTGTACTTCTCAGGACAGAGGGCAGATCTGCCTGCAGCCCCATGCCAGAAGCCAGGTTCTCTGGGAGAGGAGAGAGCTGTGAGTGGAGGCTACTGCTTCAGCAAACAGAGGACTTTCTCCTTTCCTTCTGTGGGAAGGGATGCACACACAGACACAGACACACACCCAGACATGGACACACAGAGACACAAGGACACGGACACAAATGCAGACACACACCCGGACATGTACACACAGACAAACACACAGAGACACAAGGACACAGAGACACACACACACAAAGATATGGACACACAGGCACATATACAGACACACAGTGATACACACACACATACACACACACGAGGTATTGCACACCTAGCTCGTGCTCTCTGATAAGGCAGATCCCTCACACTGGCTAAGAGGTCTCTGTGAAGGTCGGAGATAACCTAGCCACTGTGTGTGGAGCACTGTGAGGTGGGGCTCGAGCCCGTGCTGAGTTTCACCACACTGGGGGAAGCGGTTTCTTCAGGTGAATTTCCAAAACTGGCCTGACTGGGTCAGTCCCCTGCTGTGATCACCAGTGGGTGGGGTGGAGATGGACTGAGCAGGAAGTGAACACAGAGAAAGGATTGGGGGAGGGGGGTCCCCACAGCCACTGCAACTTTGAGGTGCCAAGTTGTCATATTACCCTCCACGGTCTGCACCCTTCATGGAGAGGGAAGTGAGGGAACCATAGAGCTTCCATAACCTGCATTCTGTCCCACTCCACTGGGAGGGCACACGGGGGTAGTGCTACCTCTGGCTGAGAAAAGGTGGTGGCTGGCAAGGGAGTGAAAGCAGGGGCAGAATTCTGATTGGTGGACAACGGGCAGAGGGTGCCAAGGACAACGGGTACCTCCAGTGCTCAGTGTGGTTGGTGTGAGACAGCCCACAGGGCTAGGGTAGTGGAGATGGAGAGAAGGGTGACAGGTCCTTGGGGGTCATGTCAGGGGAAGAACTATGATGGGCTCAGCAACCCCCTTTACACCTTGCACTCAGGGAGACACCAAAGACCAATAGAGAAATCTGGTGTGCACCCCAATCTCACACAAGAGCAGAGCAGGCAGCAGCTGGCACTCTCAAGGGTCCAGTTTATGTGAAAGCTAACAGAGTCTCCAGCTGGGCCTCCCCTGGGGCCTATATTTCAAGACTGGGGTGCACTCACACAGCCAAGCCTAGCAAGGAACAAGACAGTGCGTGTGGTGGGGGGACAGGGCAGGGAGAGCGCTGCTCCTGATGCTGAGCAACCATGCACCCACAGAAGCTGGGTGCGTGTGCAAATGTTTGTGCCTCCCCCAGTCTGGGCTCTCACTGTGGCAGGCCCAGCCTTTTGACAATGACGGTGATCCTGGCATGGTAGTGTGTGTCTGGAGAGAGATTCTGCCAAGGAATTGCTATCTGCTAGAGTTAAGCCCATATCCGGAAGGTACTGGCGGCTGTGCTGAGTGAGGGTTCAAGTGATGCCTGTTGGCCTTGGCTTCTGGGAAGGGATGACTTCCCAGGCCAACGCAGTTGTTTGGTCCCCATGATTGACTTCTCTATAACTGTGTGATTGTAGACAATTTCCTGTCACTTCTGCCAGGAAGCAGGTGGTGGATGGTTGGGGGTCACACCTTTCAGCTCAGGCACAGTACCTACTTCTTCCATCAGTACCAGCCTATGGCTTCTGCCCTTTGGACCCCAGTTTCCCCATCTGTAAAGCTAAAGCTAACCCACCCCTTGGAGGAGTTGCAGACAGCCCTGCCCCCACAAGCCTGAACGACTGAGAAGCTCACAAAGAAAAACAATAGCCAAGCAGGAGATCCCTGGTTCTTCAGTGGTCTCTCCTTTTGGAACCCCACATTATCCCTGCAGCTATACCTTGAACAGCTACAGGCAGAGGGAAGAGTTTGTTTATGTTTGTGTTTGGGGGGGGGGTGCTATCCACCTCGGATGTATGGGTATCAGTCAAATCCTCACTCTGAAGCTAAAATGCACCACCAGGCACACCACGCACAGAGCTGTCTGCCTACAGGCGACAGGTGGGAGGCTTCTGGAAGCAGTGTTTCTCATTCCCCCAGAGGAAACCTGTGACATCAAATCATGGAGGGGGGAAGGGGGAGCAGGCAGCCTTTCCCACGGAGTGAGGGAAGGCAAGAGCTGGGTCCTGCAAGCACCTCCTCTCTTGCTAAAGCCCTAAGAGGTCTGGGAACCAGTGGCTGTCACTGCAAGGCCATTGCTCCAGTCTTACCTGCCTCAACCGCTCTCCCCAGGGAACAAACCTTGTCATTATCTCAAATCAGCCTACTTATCTTCTGAGATACCTCCAGACTAAAGCTGTAAGCCCCTGGCTAAGCAGCCAGAACGGACCCTGAATGCCACCACACAGCCACACATCTGCCCAGAGTGGCTCACTGGAGGAAATATATTGACCTCTTTTCTTACCTTACTAAACACCACCACTAAAGCCAATTCATCACTGATGGAGGGATGCCTTCCAGAGACTGCATGGCAGCACCCTTCACCTTACTAGGAAGCTGGGTCAGTCCTGAGGTGGGGCCCTGAGATCTGGTCACAACTGCTGGGTGGGGGTGGGGTGAGGATTGGGTTGTCCATCTTCAGAAGAGCAAATCAGCTGAAGGTTCTGTCTGGTTCCTGCCACCACCACCAGCCCAGCCTATGGGCTTCAGTGCTCTGGGCCTCAGGTTGCCCATCTGGAAGATGGACTGACCGGTTAACATCATGTAGTCATTTAGAGTTGAAACGAAATGGTTTGTGAATATGTCACTGTTAGAAATATTTTCTAGAATGAGCTCTCTGCTGACGCAAAATCCCAATCAAGCAAATCAAATCAGACCAAATTAAAAGATACCCAGGTTTAATTGGACTCCTGTGCTCTTAGGTGGTTCTGAGGGGAACCGGAAAGCCGCCAATGCGATGATGGGAAAGGGGAAAAAAATGTTTATTATTTGGGGAGCAGTTTAAATAGGCTGGGAGTGGTCTTGACCCTTCCTGGAGAGGGGGTCCAAGGTTCAAGGTTCAAGGGTCACAGTGGTGGGGCCTCCAAAGATGGAGGCAGGAGACTGGGATTTATAGTCCTTTTCTTTGGGGGTTAAAAATCAATTTGTATTTACACACATACACAACTCTAATCTAAATGGCATGACCATTCACTCTCAATGTTAACAGGAACAAAACAAGGTATCCCTGTGACCCAAAGGTCTATAATAAATGTCTCAAAGATTATGATTCAGGGCCATGGTTTCCCATCTAAGCAAGGAGGGTGTTAAACTCAATGATACCTCATTTTTCTGTCAACATAGACCTTCCACAATCCCAAAACATTGTCTCACTCTTAACAGATGTGGGCAGGCTGTGGTTTGGTGAGTGATGCCCACACAGGAGGAGATGCAGGTGAGACCACATCCCTAGAAGAGAGAGGTGAGGAAACAGCTCCTAGATGTGTCTAGGAGACTAAGTGGAGGGGATGGGCAAAGCTGGACTGCAGGAAGCAGGCTAAAGCCAAGCCAGGCCGGGAATTTTCAGGAGAAAAGAAGTGGGAATTTGAGAGCCTGTGACATCATAAGGACAGAGAGAGCAGCCTTTGTCCCGCAGTTCTTATTCCACCCTGTGGTGTGACAGCAGTTACCTCCCTCTCTGGAGCCATCAGCACCCAGGTGTCCCCCCCCATGACCCCTGGCTCCTGGGACATTCTTGGTTGTTCTTCTAGAAGGGTTCTTGGGCAACCCTGAGGCTACCTTAACTGTCTTTTCCAGCCCAGGATGGGCAGACTTCCTCTGTAAGGGCCATAGAAGAAGTCACTCAGGTTCTGGGAGCCATCTAGTCTACATCTGCTCTGTCTTGTACCTCCTTAGCCATTCCTAACAATCCCAAAACACACAAATAGGCAGGGTAGTTCCAATAACACTTTATTTATGGACAACAAAATTTGAATTTAAAGTACTATTCACGGGTCACAAAAATGTTATTCCTTTGAGGTTTTTTTTTTTTAACCATTTAAAAATATAAAACCTATTCTAAAGTCACAGGTTGTGCAAAAACAGGTGGTCCATCCACCAGATCTGGCCACAGGCTAAAGTGTACAGGCTTATTCTGATCGTTCAAAACCAGTTCGTGGACCAGCAGCCCTAGCCTCCAGCTGCACCTGGGAGCTTGTTGAAAAATAGCTTTTTTTTTTCAGCTCTACAAATCCAAACCCTGGGTTTAACACAATCACTGTCACTCATGTGCACTTTAAGTTATAAAAATACCGACACCAGAGGGTCATTTCCGACACTCTCATTTCATAGGAACGGGGTGTAGCCTGGACAGCAAGCTTTCAGAGCTGCCCCTGGTTGGTACAGCCAAGTTCAAGTACTTGAAACCCAGAGATCTCCCAGGGACTAGGGACTACTGACTCTCAGAACATCCAGGCCACTCCTCTCTGACAAAGCGTATCACTGTGTAAGGACACTGCTACTCACTGAGCCACCCCGGGACCAGTGTGCCCCTGGATCCCAGGTGTGGAGACCTCACGGGTGGTCTCCCACTCCTGAAAGAGCAAAAGAAGCTCTGGAGCTGGGCGTACCCTTCCCTCTAACTCCTCGTCTCCACCCTCATCTCCAGCGTCACCCCAGAAGGCAGGGAACGCAGGAACGTGGACCTCTGCCCACTCTCTCTGTGAACCCTGGGCTTCCCCACCTTCCTGGAACGCTGAGTCCTCAGGATGGTACCCAGGTCCTGCCTTCCCAAGGACTCTGGGGTAAAGGGTATAAACAAAGGCAAGCTAATCTTTCATCAAATCTATTGGGCCCCAAGAACCCACATAACCCAGAAGGACCTGTCCTCCCCTGCTTAGAGTCTCTACTTCCTCAGACCCCAACTTCTTCCTCTGCCTCTGATGGTCACAGAACCTGGTGTCACCCTGGAGAAACATGAAGAGGAAGCACACAGCACAGTTCAGAGCAACCAATGTCTTAGCCAGCCTGACCAGAGGTGCTAACGACCTTCAGAGTCTTAAGTGAGAGGGCCAGGGGAGGGGGAGACATGGGGCAGTCCCTGTGTCCCCTTGGACAGCCACTGACATCACTACTACATGGGTATCTACCTCAGGTCTGATCCATCTCTACCTGAGTATCCTCTCACTGAAAGGCCTGGAGTGAGCCTGCACCCCACAGAAATACTCTTGATTCTCGAGACTTCAATGTCCAAGGGACAACCTCCTACCTCCTGGAGACCCTGCCAGAAGAATTAGCAGCCCAACCCTTGGCAATTCTGGAAAGGCAGACCTAGAAGGTGCCCTGAGAAATCAGTCCTCTTCTTGCTTCTGGGAAAAATCTGAGCTCAGGGAAGAGAAAGGAGCCGCCCAGGGTGGAGGCAGATGGAAGCCAACCCCTCTCTCCCCATTTATACCCTCTACCTCCTACTCCACCGTAGTGCTCCTTCCTTGGAGGCCCCTCAGCTGGGGTGGAAGGTGGGGGAGAAGGGCAGGACCCTATGGTCCTAGAAGGTAGAAAACAAGGAACGGTTAAGCCCGCAGGCCCAGCATTTAGGCTTTGGCCAAGAACAGCATTACAGTGACCTGCTTTCGACTGCCCTCGGCCCAGTCCAGGCCCGTGGAGACCACAGTGGGCAGCTATGTAACTTACCCTCTTCCCAGCATAGAACAATAGAAACAGTTTTGATTGGCAGATCACATACTGATGCCAGGATCTGAACTAATAACTGTAGTTCTCTGGCTTCCACCAGACACACAAAGCACGGAGGAACTCAGACCCTCCCTTATAAGTCCCACAGAAGGCCTCTAGTCCATTACTGCCTGGTGTTGGAGACACCACATGAACTCAGGGACAATCAGAACAGGGCCTGAATTCCTCTTCTGTGTGAGCATGAACCTCAGTTTCTTTACCTGTAAAATGGGGCTGTCTACCAGGGTAGCTGGAAAGAAAAAAAAGGGAGCGGAAAGGACACTGCTCCACAGGTGACAGCTATGGGCTAGCTGCCCCACAAGCAGACTATGCAACCTCTCCTTCCTCCCCAAGCCTCAGGGAGGCAGCTTTTCCACAGAAGGAAGCAGGAGAGCAACGTCTTGTGGAATGTGGCAAGGCGCCTTGGAGCTGAACCCTGCCTCACAACTCGTCTTTAATTAGCTCTCAACTAAAAATAGCTACCCCCCACCCCCTCTGGGGCTGCACACCTCCTTTCTGGCCTGGCACTAGGGTGTGCAGGAGCCACTCTTGGGGTGACAACCAGCCTTAGACAACCCACAACATGGAGGATATGCTGAACAGGAGGTCTTTATCGAAGGGGACACAGAAGCAGCTGTGGGCTCCTGCCAGACCATTCCAGAAGCCCCAAGGGGCCCCGTGGCTCCTGCACTCCCTAGAGGGCTTCCACCTGGACAGCTGGCACCCAAGGAGTCTTACCCAGCCTTGGCAGGGTCTGCTCAGGGGAGGGCTGGGAGACACAGGCAGCTGCCTACTGACATGCCTGCCCAATGGTCTGTCCATCCACATCCCAGTCTGTCCCTGCCTGGGAGCAGAACCATCACTTGCAGCTCTGGAGCCGGGTCCTATGGTGCTTCTCTGTCAGCAGGGGGATGAAGGTATCACTGTGTGAGAGCTTCAGCCGGCTGCCCCAGCTTGGCCCCTCCCTGGCAGCAGGCTCCGGGGGCAGGGTGTCCAGGTCGCTGCGAGAGCCCCCAGGTTTGCCTTCTGCACTGCTGGAGTTGAGCTCCATCAGCTCCAGCTCGTGTTTGGCTGCCGTCTCCAGGACACGCTGTTTGTTGTAGTACCTGACAAAGTTGTTGATGATGGGGTGAATGGGCAAGGCGATGGCAATTACCCCACACAAGAAACTGATGGCCGCGTTGAGCTTTCCCAGAGTGGTTTTGGGGTAGATGTCACCATAGCCCACTGTGGTCATGGTGATGATGGCCCACCAGAAGGACTGGGGAATGCTATTAAACAGAGTTTCAGGGTGGCTCTGCTCCATGGTGTAGCCTAGTGCCGAGAAGACGAAGATGCCCACGGCCAGGTACATAAGCAACAGCCCCAGTTCCTTGAAACTGCGCTTGAGGGCGTAGGTGAGGGTCTGCAGGCCTGAGGAGTGGCGGGCCAGCTTGAAGATGCGCGCGATGCGCATGATCCGCAAGGCCTGCACAGCCTGCTGCACGTTGGTCAGCTCCATCATTCGCGCGCCCAGGTGCGTGAGTGTGAGGCTCACATAGAAGGGGAGGATGGCCAGCACATCCACGATGTTCATGAAGGAAAGGGCAAAGTGCAGCTTGTTGGGCGAGGAGAAGAGGCGTAGCAGGTACTCCAGCGTGAACCAACCAATGCAAGCAGTCTCCACGTTCTCCAGGGTTGGGTGTTCCACGCGGTTACCCTCAGCGTCTACCACCTGCAGCTCGGGTATGGTGCCCATGCACATGACAACAGAAGAGACAAGAATGAGCAAGAAGGATAGAACTGCCACCACCCGCGCAGGGCACGACGACTCTGGCTTCTCCAGGAACTTCCAGACGCACTTCTGGCAGCGGCGCCAGCGGCCCTCGGCCGAGTCCACACCCAGGTCGTCCAGGATGAGCTGCACCCTGCGTGCGATCTCCTCCAGCTCCTCGCGCTTCTCGCTCAAGTGGCTCTTGCAACAGTCATCCAGGAATTTGAGGTCCACCTTCCAGAAGTCCATCTCGTTCTTGAAGCAGATGGGGCAGATGCCCTTCTTCATGTGAACCTCTCCAAAATAGTACACCTCAATAACACACTTAAATGCGTCCGGGTCCCGGTCAAAGTAGAATTCGCGCTTGCCTGGGTCATAATCGTCGCACAGGGAAAAGATGGTGTCGTAGCCACCGGCCAAGCAGTCCATGAGCTCCGCCAGCCGGGTCTCGGGGTACTGGCTGAGCAGGTCTCCATAGAGCACCTGCCGCACGCCCCCCACATTCACCACAATCTCAATGTCCTCGCCTGCCACTGAGTCCTGGCTGCCAGGCTCCGGGAGGCTTTGCTCTGCAGACGCGTCCATGCTCCCCACGGGTGCGCTCCCAAGCCCGGGTTCCATGGGTCCTGCCTCAGCCAATGTGCCGCCCTCTGGAACGGCAGCCACCTGCTGGGAAGGGTACTCACAGCCGCTGGCGGCAGGAGGCTGGGGTACACCGCGGGGGAGCCATACACCCAGCGGCAGCAGAGGGTCTGTGCGAGGGCATCCAGGCGCGCCGGCAGAGAACTCCGCTGCCGTTGGCCTCAGGTGTTCAGGATACTCACCAGCGGCTCCGGGGCTGACGCTTCAGCTCGGTCCAGAATAGGACGTGGCTCTCCTAGCAAGCAGAGACCTCCTTCCCCGGGGCAAGCAGGCGGCTTCGGCAGCGGGTAGGTCCAGGAGCTGCAAGATCCGGATGTGCCGAGAGCGAACTTGGACTGGCTTTGCAAGAGCGGTTCCGAAACACAATAGGAATTCCAACCTGACGTCAAACGCTTTGCTACTGTACCCTCTTCTGGTGAGATTTTGCACCGCACGCGCAGCAGCTGCCCAGGAATGAGTTAACCCTTGGGCAGACCTGCACTGCTGCCGCCACCCTTCTCCACTACCGGCGCCAACGGCTGCGCCTGCGGGCTCAGGGGTTACCATCCAGAGCTTTAAAGTCACACAGGCTGACCTCCTGAATTGCTAGGTGACAAGGGGAAAAAAGAGGACCTCCGCCTGTTGCTCTCCAACCCCTCAAGAGGGGGCTGCACACTCCTTGGGCACATCCCTTCTGTCCTAGGCTTCTGTAGGCCCTGGAAGGGTTCCTAACACTCCAGAGCTCTGCCCCGGTCAGTGGTTTGACCTTGTCCCCTACCCCTAAAATTTGTCTCCGCTCCCAAAGTAAAAAAGGAAATTGCTCCACGTTACAAGATAGAAAGGGAGGAGAGCTCAGCCATTCCTTAACCCAAGGCATTCCTGCTGGCTTACACAGCCATCACCAGTAGTTCCCAGCGTCCCTGCACCCACCATCCCCGCCCCCACTCCTCTGAAGGAAGACAGTTCTTTCAGTTGGCTGCTGCCTCGCTCCCTCTCATCTTTCTTCAGGCTGAGAGCATCTCTGGTTCCAGCCCATGGTTTTTACCACCAGGATTATCAAAGGTGGACCCATCTATGGCCTGGAATTGGGTCTAAAAGTAAGCTGAGCCCAGCGGTAGCTCAATTGGTAGAGTTCTTTCCTGGCATGTACAAGGCCCTGTGTTTGCTCTCCTATACCACATAAACCAGCCAGGATGTGCTTGTCTAGGATCCCAGCTTTCTTCACTTAGGAAAGGGAGGCAGGAAGGACAGAAGTTCAAGACTATTAACTAGCTTTGGAGATAATCCTGGGCTAGAGACTGTCTCAAAAAAAAAAAAAATTGAAAGGACAAATAGGCAGAGCCAGTAAGACAGGCTAATAGCACAGCGAAGCTATCTGTTTGACCATGCGGTGGCAAGCATGCCATCCACATTTGCCCAAACCCACAGCAAGAGGGGGCCCTAGAGGACACTATGACCCAAGTGGGTGACGATGGTGCTCTGTACCTGTGGTTTCCTCAGTTGTGACAAGCATTCCATTCCCACAGGGATGTTCAGAGTGGGGGCTGCTGATCGTGGGGAAGCTGTAGAGACCCAGTCTGGGAAACTGCATCTTTCTGTGCACTTGAGACTGCTAGCTTTAAAAGACTATTAAAATGTAGTCTGTAAGCTGGATTTCTGAAACGCTCAAGATCCTGCCCGTTCGAGAGTCATGAAACTGGTATACCAGGCCACTGGCAGTCTTATTCTTTAATGGGATGATATAAAAACAGGACGCACTAGAATACAGCACACAAGGTATCATTTGGGGGAAACGTCTTACAATATTTATTTTGTTCCCATTTAGCTCCAGTCTATGGTGTGCTACTCAGAAAGGGAAACCGGCAAAGAGAACAGTTGGGTGACAGTAACAGTCAACACTAATGTAAGAGCACTGTGTACCCAGCACTCTGGGTACTTTCCATTTTTCTTACTCAGTCCCTAGCTGCTCTCAGAGAAACAAAGACAATCAAGTAATCGCCATCATCACCAGCTACATTTGGGATGCAGGCTGCTGGGCTCTAAGGCGCCTTTCCTTACTGCAATCTACCATCTCCACACTAGATCCATCTAACCCAAGCTATTCCCCTTTTGGCTGCCTCCTGTTGTTCCCTGTCCGGGCAGGGTCCAGTGCGAATGGCATCTAAGACAGCTTTATGGGCTTAAAAAGGGCCCATTCTCGCTCACGTAATTACTGATGTCCTGTGCCATCTACGCATGCCACACCCACCCTGGGCAAAGATATAATCATACTATACTGGAAATTTAAATACGGTACAGCTAAGGGAACACATAACGAGAGAGAGAGAGATGTGCAGGGTGGTCCTGAGGATCTGCTTGTCTCTGCCTCCCTGGAACAGGCGTCTTGCTAGGGTGTGGTCCTCAGGTCCTCACGACTATACAGCAATAGTCTACTGACTGAGCCATCTCCCCAGCCCCAGCCTCCTCCTTTGAAGCAGATGGTGAGGTTTAGTGTATTCACCAATTTGTACACCATTCCCACCAGTGACTTTCAGCTCACTTTTTTGTTTTGTTTCTTTTTGTTTTTGCAACATGAGCTCACTATGTAACCCTGAGTGTCCTGAAACTTACTGCGTAAACCAGGCTGTCCTCAGACTCCTAGAGATCCACCTGCCTCTGCCTCCGAGTGCTAGGATTAAAGGCATGCGCCATCGCTTCCGAGTTCCACTCATTTTTGTTATTCCAAGAAACAGACTTGTACCTTGTAGCCATGAGCCTTAGGCCTTTCCGGCCTTCAGAAACCACTGGCCTGCTATCTGTCAGCTTGTCTCTGTGGCTATTTTGTATAAATGGAATCTCATAAAATACAGCCTTTGTGACAGGTTGGTTTTTTCCACTTAGGATCCTTTAAGGCTCATCCATACTGTGGCAGGCATCAGTTTTCCATTCCTTTTTATGGATGAGTGGCGATCGCTACACTGATAAATCACCCCTTGTTTCTAGCCCTTTGTGGGAAGTGGCCGCTGTATTAAAGCAGGCCAAGTAAGACTGGGTATGAAGGGTGTGGAACTAGGAAACAAACTGACAGAGGCCCAGACAGGAGGGATCCCAGCCTAGGTACTGAGCCAGACAAGGGCTTTACATTCCTGAGTCTTTGTACAACGAACAGGGCTGCCCACCTAGTCCTGGGCTTACTATTCCCCATCTTTCAAAGCTCAGCCCTCAGGATGCAGGCCTCTGACAGGATGTCTCCTAGGACTATGCTGTTTCCCTGTGGTCCCCATGGACATAAGCCCCTCCCCTCGCACACTCACAGAGCCCCTTGCTGTCCCGTAGCACAGGCCTGGACACCCAGGGCCTTAGGTAGGCAAAGTGAGGGAGACAGGAGAGGTCACTTTAGTATAATCAGATTCTGCAGTCTGGAAGATAAGGGTGTCCATGCCTATGATGGGCTGTCATTTGCTCTGCTGTCCCTCAGAGTTGACATCAGCAGTTTCTGAGACATACTGACAAGAAAGGCCAGAATACGGTTCTGTATATGGTCCTCTGAACATGCTATTAGCACCATGGTAAGCCTTACTGAGAGAAGAGAGGCACTGGGAGTGGGGCCACAGCTGGTGGAGGTTGCTGGGGGCCACATCTGGCAGAGGGATTGCTAGGGGCCACAGCTGGTGGAGGGGTTGCTGGGGGCCACAGCTGGCAGAGGGATTGGTGGGGGCCACAGCTGGCAGAGGGATTGGTGGGGGCCACAGCTGGCAGAGGGGTTACTGTGGGGCCACAGCTGGCGGAGGGGTTGCTGGGGGCCACAGCTGGCAGAGGGATTGGTGGGGGCCACAGCTGGCAGAGGGATTGGTGGGGGCCACAGCTGGCAGAGGGGTTACTGTGGGGCCACAGCTGGCGGAGGGGTTGCTGGGGGCCAGAGCAGGTGGAGGGGTTGCTGTGGGGCCACAGCTGGCAGAGGGGTTACTGTGGGGCCACATCTGGTGGAGGGGTTGCTGTGGGCCACAGCTGGTGGAGGCTGGCCTTCTTTATACAAACAGGACACAGACATTTCTTTCCATCCTACAAGAGGCCAGCAAGAAACCAAGCCTGCACACACCGTGATCTTGGGCATGAAACCCCAGAACTACAAGACCATGGATGGCTACTGGGGTTCTGGTGCTTGTCCTTGTCCTCCTCCTTCTCTGAGTCTCCCTCCCTAAAGCCCTTGGGTCAAGCCCTTTTCTTCTGACCATCAGTCAAGTTGGCCAGGATTTGAGCAAGCTTGGATGTGATTCCATAAATTTCGAAAATGCTCACATGCTGAGATCTCATTGAAGGTCCCTGTTGTACAGGAAATCCAGAGCATCTAGATCTGCTGAGATCTCATTGAAGGTCCCTGTTGTACAGGAAATCCAGAGCCACTTAGAATTTCTTGAAGGGTTAAACAAGACAGAAATGTCTGAGCGGTTGGCTAAAAACAGAAAGTCCCTTACTGTGGCGTGTTTGGTCCTATATTTGACTTCTATGGCAATTGGACATTTCGCGACACCATGCAGGGGGTTGAAGGGAGTGATGGAACAGCCCGAATTTTCTGCAGCAGTTGCAGTTTTGACTCCTGACTTTCCATTTAAATGGGTATGAGAAAAACCCCGCCACTATCTACGGGTTCTGGGAAGCAATTGTTTTGAGCCACAATTTTCTCTGTCAAATGTCTTTTTAAAAAGTTACTGAACAATAGCATTTGGAGCTACAGAGTGCTCCATCGCTGTGACATTAATTAAAACCAGCACAGGTATGCTTTGGTGATTGTCTAGACGGGGAACAATGTGAGCGCTGACCTGCTCCCCTTTTAGGAGCCAGCTAATCAGCTCTGCTCGGTTAAGACCTCTTTGTGTCTCGCTGAATCTAAAACAGTGCCTTCCGGGCAACTGAAAACTTAACATTTCATTATTTGCTGGGCACCCTCAGCACTGGCATGAGCTGACCAAGTCCCAAGCTTCCGAGCCCAGAACTTGCGGCAGAAGGCTCGACCTTGATCTCCAAAGGTCAAGTGCAGGAGGCAGGCTGGATGGGAGCCGATGCCGGATGGAAAGTGGGTAGGCAGAAAGAGGCAAGCCATGATCATAAGAAAGCTCCAGTTTTCACTGAAAATACCCAAGTTGATGTCTTCTTTAATGTCTCAGTTTTTCCATCAGTGAAATGGAACCAGTGGCCCTTCTTTTCTTGACTGTAAGATTTTACAGAAACAACTAAGTTACACTGTGGGTTCTGTCTATGGTTGCATGCTTGATATACAGGAGCAAATGGAGCAGAAGGAGGGCAGCAATCAAGAGGGCCTCCTGGCTCCCACTCAGCGGCCAGGCAAGGTCCACAGAAGTCCTACAACCCCTCCCTGCTCCTGCCTCTGCTTAGCTTCAGAGATGACTCACGGCTATGCTGATAATGGTGCCGGAAGTCCAGAGAAAAGAATTTGAGTCTTCGTACTATGTTGTAGGTGCACTAGGGCCGAGGGAAGGCACCCTGGGCCCAAGTCTAGGCTGCTCTGACTTTCAAAGAGAAAGAGAAATGAAGTTAGAAAGCAGAAGCAAGGCCCCTGGCTACCAGCTGCCAGCATGGGGCAAAGGAGAGGTCTGGAGCAAAATGGACCTGGGGTGGGAGGGGCCGTGGAGTGAGGAGGA